ATAGCCCCCTTTCTCATGAGAGAGGTTTATTTGTACACATATATGTATACCAAGTCGTATTTAGAGACAATAATAGGGAAAGGAGGGTTTGAATGTGCTAATTAGCCACAAAATCCCCCACAGAGAAATACCCTGACCAGCATAGCCTTTTTCCCATAGACCCGCTTCCTCAGTCTCCCAGCCAAAGAAGAAAGCTTCCCCTAATATAGCAGGGACCACAAAAGCACAGTCAGGAATAAATATGTCAAGGAGGTTTTAGGTCACAAACGCTCATTATTCAAACAGAGTTTATTATTTTCACTAAGTTAAAACCCTGTCTTAGCACTGATCTCTCCTGGCTTCAAACAGTTCTGGACATTTGTATGATTAGTCTGCTAGGGCTACCATAACAAAATACCATAGACTGGGTGGCTTAGACATCAAACATTAATTTTCTCAGTTTTGGAGGCTAGGAAAGTCCAAGATTAAGGTACCAGCCAATTTGGTTTCTGGTGAGAGCTCTCTTCCTGGCCTACAGACAGCCGCCTTCTCACTATTATCCTGGCATGGCCTTTCCTCAGTGCATGCGAAGAAAAAGCAAGCTCTTCTTTTTTTTTTAATCCTCACCCGAGTACATTCCTCCACCCTTGTTCAGATAGAGTGGGAGGGAGAGAGAGAGAGAGAGAAACATCGATGTGAAAGGGACACATCGAGTGGCTGCCACCCACACGACCCAACCAGGGCCAGGGACAAACTGCAATCGAGGCACATGCCCCTAGCGAGAACCGAACCCGGATCTCCTTGGACCGAAGGCTGACACTCTAACCACTGAGCCAAACTGGCCAGGACAAAAGCTCTTTTAAGGACATTAATCCTATCAGATCAGGGCCCCCACTGTTACAACCTCATTTGACCTTAATTACTTCCTTAGAGGCCCCATTACCAAATACAACCACATAGGCCTTAGAGCTTCAACATAATTTGGGGTAAGAGGATACAAACATTTAGTCCATAACAAAACTCAAGTCACCTCTTTTTTAATTCAGAAAGAGCTGAGAGTCTTCTTATGCCTTCTGTGTTGGTATACCAGCTTGCATGCATTCCAACCAGAAACCTGTACCTATGTATATATTTCAAACTGCAACCGAGGCACGCACCCTTAGTGGGAACTGAACCTGGGTCTCTCCGGACCGCAGGCCGACAATCTAACCGCTGAGCCAAACCGGCCAGGGCTGTATATATTTCTTTAAGTGGTGGATAGGTAGCTTTAGTTAGGGAAGCCAGCTATACAGACAATAGAAAGAACAGCCAATGAAAATGAGAGAGAGATAACTGTGAGAAAGCTAGAGCTTATTAGTGACTCAAGGACGGAAATGGGAAAGAGTAAAAAACAGTTTAAGTCCCAAAGGATGTGGCCCCATCCATCAAGGCAGTCTTATTTCTTGTTATTCTCATTCCTGTTCCACCAATTATTGGCTGCAGTAACTTGGGCAAGTGACTTAAACCTCTCTTTGCCTCAGTTTCCTTATATGTAATACAATCTCATAGAGTTATTATTGTGAGGATTAAATGAAAATGCATATAAAGAGCCAGAACAGGGCCTGGCATGTCATAAATTACCAGGAAACATTAGCTACATATAGTTACACTTTCCCATCTCCTTGCACATCTTCATCCCAGATTCCAAGTCCTTGCTCGTTTTGTTACTTCTGCCTGAAATGCCCTTTCTGGTCTCCTCCACCTACACATGCTTCAACGTCCTATTTCTCCACAAGGCCTTCTCTGTACTAACATGACATTTACTGCCCATTCAACTCGCCCTGATTAACTAACAATGTTGCTGTGGTAGTTAACTATCTTATACCTTTAGGTCTACTCCTCCAGGGGAAGAAGCTGTTTCCTAATTTTTTGTGTGTTTTTCAGTGTCTTATACAGTGCTACACTGCAGATGTTCAGTAAATCCTGCCTAAAGACAGAAAGGGAAAGTCTGGATTTAGAGCAATAAAAATGTCACCTGGACCTTGAGGCAGTGGTTCTCAACTCTGGTTTCCCAGTATGCAGAGGTCTTGCCAGGATTATCACAAAATGTTCCATAAATTCTCAAAACAAGAGTACTTTTACTTATACTTTAGTTCTAAAACTGCCCTGGCCGGTTTGGCTCAGCGGTTGGAGCTGAATCAGCCTGCGGTCCCAAGAGACCCGGGTTCGGTTCCCGCTAAGGGCACATACCTATGTTGCAGTTTGTCCCCGGCCCTGGTTGGGTCGTGCGGGTGGCAGCCACTCGATGTGTCCCTTTCACGTCGATGTTTCTCTCTCTCTCCCTCTTCCTCTCTCTCCCTTCCACTCTATCTGAACAAAAAAATGGAAAAATGTCCTGTGTGAGGATTAAAAAAAATTCTATTTAAAACAAACCCAAATGTGTCACACAGCATCTTCTGAAGAAAGGAGTATTACGCAATAAAATAATTATAGGGGCAACACCCCCCAAAGTTTGGGAACCATTGATAATGCTTCTAGAGGAATGGTAAGGAGAGAAGCAGAGAGGCATCAGAGAAGAGAGGCATCAGAAGCAGCAAAGGGAGTGAAATATGATGCAGAGCACAGAAAACATTCACTGAGTGCCTGCTCCACACTAAGCACATACACTGATCTTGTCAACAGTTTTGTCAGGGATGTATCCTTGTCTCCCAGTTGGCCTTACTTCCAAGCCATGCCCTTTCCCCAATCCTCTTTGCCTATATTGTTGATGAAAAAAGGTATTGCAATTGGAGGTGTTGTGTGGCCAAGTGAATATGCCCTCTGGGCCAGCTTCCTGGAGATGGTACACTTTGCTGCTTGCAGTCAGGTGATGGACTTTTTTTTTTTTAAGGAAGCTGGAGGGTCTGCAGAGGACAAGAATAATGAGGGGTGGAATAATGTGTGTATATGTGTGAGAAAGATGAACCTCAGGCCTGGACTGACAGGATGTAGTTTAAGGGAAACCTTGTCCCTAAATATCTCCCTGCCCAACTTCTTAAGGTGCTAGGAATCAACACCATTATGGTTTTATGCTTTAAGAGCTTGTTTTTGGCAGGCAGTTAAGATATATGCATTACTTGTGAAGGGTAGTAAAAACAAGGAGCCCATCACAGAAGACTACTTAGTTTATCAGATTAGTTATCACCTGAAGTGACATGACTGGAGGGCATCAGGATCTGATGGAGGGCAACAAGGGCAGCTTTAAAAACAAAGTAGGGCGAAGCTGGTGTGGCTCAGTGGATTTAGCGTTGTCCCATGGACTGAGAGGTCCAGGTTCAATCCCCAGTAAGGGGCATGCTAGAGGCAGCCGATCCATGTTTCTCTTGGACATCAAAATTTCTCTCCTCCCTTCCTCACTCTCTGTAAAAAATCAATTTAAAAAAACATTATTATTATTTTTTTTTAAAGTAAGAAAGGTTGAAGTGCATTTCTGAGGTGGCAATAGGCACCTGGTGTGGATTGAGGGAACGTGGGTGGAAGGGCACTAACGGTAAATAGCCAGCTTCCAAATGTTGCCTTTATCAAGTACCTGCAAACCTAAGTATGCTTTCAACTCCAGACATTGACTCAAGGGTCACAAGGGTGAAGGAGATGAAGGGGCAACTTGGATGCTCATGGAAATCTGGACTACTATGGGCTACAACTCTACTCCAGTTTCCAGAAGCCGCAGAGCCAAATCAAGCATGAGAGATGCATTAATGCCATAGTTTGGAAGGGCATTCTCAAAGAAAGGCAGGTGTGCTCCTCCCCAGCCCCTGACACCTGTGGCTCAGCCCCAGCAGCTTAACAAGCCCCAAGTCTCAGGTACTATCTCTTGTCTTCTGCAGAAAGGCTCCTTTGTGCAGGTCCAGTCAACCCATTCCAGTGGTACAGTGGTAATTTCCTGACTGCATTGGAGGTCGGACCTCCTAATGCCAGCTTGGCTCAAGGGTCAACTGTATCTAGTTCTCTTTTCTTGGGTCTAGAAGAGAACTGATCCTGAAGACCACCAGAGGGCGATGTACAGCAGGGACCTAGCTTCTGGGAGGACACAGCTGCTACAGAGAAGGGCAGGCTCCTGATGGTACCACCCACCCCTGACCAGGCCCTAGACAGCCCCCTTCCAGTGCAGTCCAACTTTCTCAGAGCTTCCATTGCTAACTCAGAGGCACCTGCTGCATGGATTCCAGGTATCTGTTGTGTTGGAAGCCAAGGGTTCCAGAAACACTCAGGCCAAGGAAGCAGAGCCAGCAATAATGGGAGAGGGGAGAGACAGAAACGGTGGAGAGAGCTAGTAGGAACAACCAGGAGAGGCGAGCAGGAAGGGCACTAGGGCTGTAATACTCATATGCCCTTGTTTGGGGTGCCTATTTACCCCCATACACCAGAGTTGAAATGGGTCTCCACCCTCACCCTCGCAGCAGCCCTTCATAAGAAATAGGTTCCAGCCTTCTTCTGTCAAGATTCTTTGTCTTGACCAAGAAAGAGTGTGTGGGGACTATCAGTTATGACTTAGCTAGGAATTCCCATGGGTCACCAGTTGGTCCAATAACATTCCCTGAAAAAACTTGGGTTCCATCCAGACCCCACACCAGAGTAGGAGGGGGCTAGGCTGATGCATGGCTTTGAGAGAGGGACCAGGACTACAGGCTAACAATAGGGGGGCCAGAATTCTTTAAGTATCAGTACCCACAATGGCCTTAGCCCCATGGGGGCCCCTATGAACAGAGAAAGGACCTACTCAGGCCCACTCGCTCCTTGGACAACTCTGGCCTCTGCAACAGCCAGTATGCAACCCTACCAGCAGAATGCTGTCCTCTCTGAATGGGAGAAGGGACCAGCAGCCTAGAAAAGAGCATGACTTTTTTGATCTCTTGCTGATGGATTAGGAGGGCCCCTTCTGAGGGGTGGAAGCAGGGCAGGAAGACCTGCTGGGGAAGGAGGGAGAATCCATGAAAGGAATTGACTCTGGGTGTGCCCCTTTCTCCTCACTCTGGAGGTGAATCACCCTTGAAATAGAGATATTTTCCAATAATCTCCTGAAAGCTTTCCCTTTATTAGCCCACCTGTGTGAAAATGTCAGACATCAGATTGGCTGGCTGTATAAGTCAGTGTTAACGCTGTGCCCAGGCCTTCATCTTGCCAGGCTGGGCAAGCAGATCATTATATTATAATTTATAAATATAAAATAAAATAAAATAATCGGGTAGGGCTGAGGCACTGGGTAAGAAGAGGCGAAATAGTCTTTGTCAAGGAGTACCCACTATCAACCCCACCTATCTAGGACCTGGAACCACCTCTTCGGTTGGAGGTTGCCCCTAAACTAGGCAGTCCCGTGTCGCCTTTTCCCCCTATTCCTCCCTCCCTCCCTCCCAATCAACATCATCCTCTGCCCACATCCCTAGATCTCTGCCCCTACGCCCTCCTTTAGGCGGGCGCCTCGCCTCGAGGTTGCTGTGCCTAGATCTCTCAGCCTAGCAGCTCCTCGGCCAGCCGATAGAGGAACCTGGAGTACCAATGCATGCCTGTGGGCTGCACTGCCCCTCCAGGAAGCAGCGCCCCCAGCGCGTGCAGCAGGCGCAAAGGAGCAAAGGCGCGGTGAGCCCACTGGTGACTCTCCAGAACCGCGTAGCACGAGGCCAGGACATCATTGACCAGCAGCGTCCCATGCGCTGTTAATGGCGCAAACACGCCCACGGCTTCCTCTCGAGCCACACGGGCCACGCGCGCTGGGCGCAGCGCGTCCCCGCCGGGCGCCAGCACTGAGTCCCCTGCACGCAGCCGGCGTGCGAACACCGGTGTGAAGTCGCCCGGTGCGGGCGCTGGCCCTCGAGCGGCGAACACCAGGTGCCAGGGTGTGAGCAATAGTTTGCGGGGGGGCCGCTCAGTCTCCACGGCCACGAAAGAGGCCCGGCGCTGCAAGTCTCGGTCCAGGAAGAGCAGCACCGGCGTGGGCACCACCCGGCCTGCGGAGTCTGCCGCCAGGACCCAGTCCCCACGATGCAATTCCCGCAGCCCTTTCCGCTCGCCACTCCGCAGGCGTACAGTGGCATTTCCCGGAAAGCAGCCGCCTGCTCGGATTGCCAGCGAGTTATCTGCAGGGAACAAGCATAAAGAGAATTAGATGAAGACCAGTGGTTCCAGAATGTTAGTACAGATTCTTAAAGCTGTAGGTCAAGCCCACCGGTGTGGCTCAGTGGTTGAGCGTCGACCCATGCACCAAGAGGTCGCCAGTTCGATTCCCAGTCAGGGCAGATACTCAGGCTGTGGGCCAAATCCCCAGTGGGGGAGGCATAAGGAGGCGGCCAATCGATGATGTTTCTCTCTCTCTCCCTCATCCCTTCCTTCCTTTCTCTCTAAATTCAATAAGGGGGGGGGGGGAATGTGGGCCAAGCCCAGCGCAGATCTCAGGAGTCCCAGGACAACTGCAATTTCCCAGAGATCTGGCCGAAACCTGGGCAGAAATGGAAGGGTGGTTTATAACGCTAATGCCCACCTTGGTCCCCTAGAGTCACAACAGAGCTGTGCAGCCTGTCTCTAGGAGAGAGCACCTTTGGGTAGACCTCACCACCCACCCCCTACCTTACCAGCTTTGACCGACACGTGGACGTGGTTGCGGGACTCGTAGTAGACCCAGTCGAAGCCGGCTTCCACTGCCAAGCGAGCCAGCAACCCGTACTTATTGCGGTCTCGGTCTGATGTAGTGATGTCCAAGGCACGGCCTTCGTAGTGGAGTGAGTCCTGAGCATGGTGGCCGTCCTCGTCCCAGCCCTCGGTTACCCGTAGGCGCACCCCAGGCCACATGTTCATCACAGCAATGGCCAGTGCATTCACCCGCTCCTTACAACGCTGTTGGGGAATAAAGGAGTCAGTCTCCTCACTACCACTGCCACCACCATGGGGGTAAAGGGGCCTGAATGGGTGGGTCGATTCTTCTGCTTCCAGTCCCACTCCACTCCCTCCCAGCTTTTGAGTTCCCTGAGAATCTGCATAGGTGTAGTCGCCAATCTGCACTCCCTTTCCAAAGCATCGTTGGAGAACTGTGCGGTCACGTCTGAGGTTGAGATGGGGGAGCGCGCCTATACCCAGTTCTTTCCCTATTTTTAATGCCGCCTTCTCACCCTTACTCGTTCTGGGGCCTCAGCTCAACCTGAGAGAGATCAAGGGTTGAGAGGTGGAAGCGTGGTTAGGGAGGGGTTGAGTAGCCTGGCTCCGGGAGAGGAGTCCCTGTTTGAGCTTGGCCCCCCGCCGCAAGCCCCGGCTGCCCTCCCTCCGCCTGATTCATCTTTTGTTTAGTTGCCTTCCCTGGCACCGGGCATCGCTTCCTTCCTTCCTTCCTCCTCCTCCTTTCAGCCCCTAGCATTAACCCCTTCATAGTGTGAGTGCCCCCCACAGAGGTGCCCTAGCAGGAGCTGTGAAAGATCAAGGCTGCTGGAAAAAGGGTTGGGGTGGCGGGGGCTGCACGAAGTACAATGGCCATTCTCCGGGATGACTTAACCAAGCGAGAATCCCGGGCCGGGGACTTGCAGGGAGAAGCGGACTCAGCAGCTCCATCCACAAAGGCGCTTTTCAGCCGCCCCGGCTCAGGGAGAGGAAAGGGCAGAAAGCCGCGCCCCCCATCCCTGCTCCGACCGGCCGGTCCCCTCCCCCAGCGCGGCCAGCCTTCCCCATTCCAGCTTAGCCTCTGCCAGCCCTGAGAGCTGCCATCTCTCCATCTCTGGTCCAGAGGCAGCCCAGAGAGGCGTAGGGGTAGCACCTGAGACTAGCTGGAGCTGCCCTTGTGCGGATCTGGGGGGCCCCCTGCAGGGTGGGAGTGGAGAGGAGGAAAAGCAGCAGCGGCTGGAAGCCTGCACGCGGGGGAGTGAGACTACGGTTATCTTGGCCGCTCCATTCTGGGAGCCGGAGACCTTGGCGCGCACCATAGCACGGACACGGCGGGAGGAGGCACAAAGAGGACAGCTTCCTTTTCTTCTTCTCCGACCTCTCACCTTGGACTTGGTTTTCTCCTAACTGCCTAACTGCGGGAGGTGGGGGGGCACTTTCCCCCTGTCTTTCTTGCCGAGTATTCTACACCTCCGCAGGGTTGGAGAGGAGGGGGGGGGGACAAAAAAAGTGGTAACTCCTTCCAACTTAGTGTCGTTTTGTCCCATAAGGAGGCCTTGAGGCCTTGACCTGCGGGGGCAGCAGCCCAGTGCAGAGCCAACTCAATGGAGGCTTTTTGCAGCCAGGGTGTGGGAGATAAGCAGGACCGAAAGGGTTCCCAAGCCTGTCAGAGCACCTCCTGTCCCTTGTTTTGCCCCCTCTGCTGCAGGTGGCAGCCAGAGGAAAGGACCACAACATTTCAAGACTGAGGAGGTCCCCTTCCCAATCTCTGGGTAGGAGGAAGGCTTCAGGGCAGGAGCAAGAAGGAATTCTTTTTTCCCTAGACAGGTTTTCCTAACAAAGTAACCTGGAAAACTGTGGCAATTAATCGGAGGAAATCCGTACCCCTTCCTCTCCCCCACCTCCCGACTCCATACACAATTAGGTGGTGTAATGGAAAGTGTATAGGACTTAGAATCAGGAGTCCTGAATTCTAGTCCCAGCCCTGCCACTAATTAGTTTTAAAACTTTGATTAAATCGCTTTTCCTCCTGGGGCCTAGCTCTCACTGTAAAAATGAGGGTTGGGGGTGATGGTGGAAGAATGTGACCTCCACGTTTCCTTCCAGTTCTGACATTTGAGATCTGGCCAGAGGTGGTCCTTCTCTTCCAAGGTATTGCTCACCTCTCCCTAGGTTGGTTAGGTTCTGGTCTGCAGCAGATGCTCAATTTGTGATAGTTGAATTTATTTTAATTTTTTAATTCCAGCAAAAGCCCGTAAACTAAACTGAGCTTGAGGGACACAGGAACACTTTGATTCTCAGGTGGGCCCATCTGTTCTTCCCATTAAGGATTGCTTTTCGCCCCAAGACAGTCGTTTAGAATCTAGAATAAATTTGCTCTGGTTCTAGGATGCCTCCCCCATGCCAGAGATAATTCCTGCTCAGCCCCTCCTCAGGTAGATGGCCCAGTGACCTGACTCTTGGCCACCCTCTCCCAGCCCCCTTCAGCCTCTTTGGCTCACAGAGCTTTTCCACAATCAGGTCAGAAGCCAGGCTAAGGGCATAGCTTTCTGTCTGCTGCCTGGCCAGCTCCTGGCCCCCAGCTCACCCCAGCCCTTCCTGCCTGGCTCGGTAGCTGACCCCCGGTCCACGCCTCAGCCATTTCCCGTCTCGCCTGCCGCCATCCCCCTTTCCCCGCCCTCGCCCTCGCCCTCGATGTCTCTCCCAGCTTCACTCTCACTAGTCCCTCCTCCCTCTCCCCATCCCAGCCCTCTCCCGTTCGTTCGGATCTCTCCTAATCACTCAATCTAGCCAGCAGAGATTTTATTTGGGGAGGGGGGTGTCTTTGAGATTAAGGTCTCTATAGATGAAGCCCAGCTCACCCTCCTGGGCTCCTATAGGAAAGTAGAGAAGTTGGCAGTGCCCTGGCGCAGGTGAGGAGAGGCCCACCTTACCTCGGTCATCAGGCGGTCTGCGCCACTGTTCTCCTCATCTTTGAAGATAATGTCAGGGTTGTAGTTGGGCACCAGGTCACGGAAGCGCTCGGAGCCCCTTGCAACCCTCCCCTCGGCTGGCCCACTGGCACCCAGGGTCCGTTCAGGCACGCTGGGCACAAATTGCTTGTAGAGCAGCGGCACAAGCTGCTTGCGCACATAGCGGCGCCGGCCAACCGGCCCACGGCCGGGCCCGCAGCTCTGGGCTGGCAGCGCCAGGAGTGCCAAGCAGCACAGGAGCACCAGACTGGCCAGCAGCGCCATGGATGCAGCGGGCTGGGGCCAAAAGGGAACGTTCTTGTCCTTACCAGCTCACCCGGCAGCTGGGCATTCCCCGGGCACCAGAGTGCAGCAGGCAGAACTGCCCCCAGAGTGCCCTAGAGCTCTTGTGGCTCTATGCACCTGGCTGCCGCTAGCTCTGCCTACATGCCCCCGGGGGTTCTGTAACCTGCTACTGACGGGTCATCATAGCAGGGAAGGGGGGTTGTGGGTGAGTGCCAGCTCAGCCTGGCTCTGTCGCCAGGCTCCGGTGCTGCCACAATGCCCGGGCTCCGCCTTAAGTGGCCCCTGGCCCCGCCCCCCCCGCCCAGGACCGGCCTGCCCCCTTCCACCAGGGCGGGGGCTCTAGCCTGTCACCACTGGTCCAGTCTGAGACTGAAGTGTGTCCCATCCTGGAACCCAGACAGTTACCTGCCTGGGAAATCCTAGTAGCTTTACAGTCCTTGACTGTCTGGATAAGCATCCTTCTACCTCCCCGTCTAAGCTTGGCACCAAACCACCCTCCTCTGACATTTGAATTGGATCTTTACTCTCCCAAAGTCTACCTTGGCAGGCCATGTCCTCTTCTACCATCTTCCAGTTTCTGCCAAGGTCAGCCAAGCTCTTTGGGCATACAGCCAGAGCCTCCCTTGTCTGTCTGTGGTCCTCCCCAAACCTCTGCCATTTCTTCTCTCTTCTTCAGCAGTAACAAGGACTGGAAGGGGTGAGTACCAGGGGACTATTTTTCCTAGTAGCTTGGCAACCTTCTGCTGGAAGGTTCCCCCAGAATCAGAAACAGAGCTTCCCATAATCTGGTTTAGGAATTCAAAATCTGGCCCCTTTTGTCCTTACCAGACACCCAACTTCTTTTTAAATGAATAACTTGTCAATTGGAAGTTGCTGGAGGGCAGTGGATACTTACGTCTCTAACAGGTTAATGATTGCTCTCTTTTACCTTTCATCTAGCCATCTCTCTAGTCTTTTCCCTCTCTGGATCCCCCTGGGGCTCTGCTTCCAGACACTCAGGTTTATCTCAGAGGCTTTGAGCTTGCTATACTTCACCCACCAATCTTCTATCCTTTAGAAATCACATTCTCTAAGAAGCCTTCTCTGATGTTGGTCCTGACACTGCTCACCTGTTTCCTTGAGAACCAGTAATTAACTGCCATCCATTGTGGTTCGGTGTTAGGATTATGTCGTCCTTACTAGACAAAGCAATTACGCACAAACTTATTTATCATGTAACCCCATTAAGTGCCTGGCCTATAGTAGCGTACTTGGCAAATATTCATATTCATAGCACCTAAATTTTTTTGTTGGTATTCCATATTTACCTCTCATGCAGCTCCAGAGCTAGCATTCACAGCACCTTTGTGTACATTAGAAAAAAAAGCACCCCATGCCCTGGCCAGTTTGGCTCAGCAGTTAGAGCATCAGCCCGCGGAGCAGAGTCTTGGGTTCGATTCCCGCTAAGGGCATGTACCTCAGTTGCAGTTTGTCCCCAGCCCTGGTTGAGGTCGTGTGGGTGGCGACCAGTCGATGTGTCTCTCTCACATCAATATTCCCCTCTCTCTCTTCCTCCCTATCTAAAGATAAATGAAAAAAAAAAGAGAAAAGCACCCCTTCTTCAATACACCTGCCATTTGCAAGGAAATTGTCATAGTAAGTATACATAAGACTCTGAGGTGAATGGTGTCCCTAAAAGTTGTATAATGCATAATCTGCATAACCCTGAGCAGAAACTTTGTCCCAAGCCCTAATATAGCAAGAGGCTTACATAGTATTTAAGGCACTGATAGTCTCTGGAAAGATAGCTAAATCACAAACCCTTGCTAGTCACCCACTTCTTTTACTCCACAGCCAATAATCAAATCAGGAAGGACAGGGCTGAGGGTGTGTGTGTGTGTGTGTGTGTGTGTGTACAGGAGGAGGTTATCCTATTCCTACACCCATGCCTACCTTATCCTCAATTACCAAGGCACAAAAACAAGGCCATGGGTACAAGGAAAAGTCAGGGGTCAGGCAGCTTTAGGCAAGATTAAGGGAAAGGAGTTTCTAACTGCCTATTGTGTGGCCTAACACCAGACCTAAGTCCCCAAAGGACACTAAGAATGCAGATGGAGGGGAAGGGAAAGGATGGTGGATAGGACCCTTCTGTTTCTCTCAGTTGATAGATACAGGACTTGGGGGAGCAAGAATATTCAAATAGACACAGAGACAAGCCCTTTAAAAAACCAAAGCAAACCTTGAGATAAACTTTATTGCTGATGGTTGTGGTCTCTTCTTTCCCATGCCCTCACCTCTCTGGTGGTCCAAAGCCCCTCCAAGGTAGCACAGTGCTTAGGTTCTTCTGGGCCAGAGGCAAAGGGAGACAATCTGCCTCCCAAGTCTCAGTCCCTTTCTTGTCCCCACCCCACCCTATTGCACATCAAATCATGTAAACATGGCTACGGGCATGCCCGGAATAGCAGAGAGGCAGATTGATGTGTAAACGGATTTGGGACCAGGAGCCAGACCCAGTCACTCAGTCCCACCCCATGCTAAGGCCCACAGTTAAATCTGGAAAAGCAGGGGGCCTGGTCCCAAACTCTGGCTCAGATTATGCAACAGTGCAGATGGCTCAGCTCCCCTCTGCCATCCACCCCTCCCAGATTCCAGGTCCTAATGACTACCCACTCCTGGTGTTGCTCCAGGCCTGGGTAGCAGATGGCAGTGTCCAGTTTATTCCTTCCTACCCCCAACTGGAGGTCACTGATGCTAGGTCTTCCTAGATGCCCTAGGGAAACCAGAGACAGGCAATGGCAGTCTGTCCAGCCCTGAAAAAGAGAGAAAGTGGCCAGTCAAAAGTAGGACATATGTCCAGACCTCTGGATAAGATAACCAACCCACAAAATAGATGACTGAAGGTTACAAATAAAGCAGAAAGCCTGCCATCTCCCCTGCTGGGATGACCATTGTTCCAGAGGGCTCTACCCCACCAGCCAGAGCCCCCATTCCCTCTTACCAAAAGCCCGGATCAGCTCTGCCCGCACAGCTGCAGTGAAGGTCTTCACCAGACCGAGAGTGGTGAGGCCCGCAAAGGTTGCATTATAGAGGAATACAATGTAGAAATTGCCCAGCCAGTTGAACCGTCCAAAATCACCCAGCAGGTCAAAGTGAGTGAGTCCTGAAGTACAAAGACCAGGACGGGAGGTGGGCATCCCAGCCCCTCCCTGGCTCAGAGCCCAGCTTTCTGCTGCCTCCTGGTGGCCACATCTCAACATTGCAACTGATAGGTTGGCCTCTCCTATCAATTATTTCTACCTCCCAAGCTCTGTCTCAGGAGTAGTTCAGGGCTGTGAAGAAAGTGTCAGCAGCTAGGCTTGTTCCAACTTCCCTTTCAGAATTTGGCATGTTCTCTGATGGGATCCCCTCTGTCTCCATGTGTCCCAAGGAGTTCCCTGGGTCCTCCAGTTGTTCCTGAGTCAGGAACCTGTAAGCTAGTCATCAAGTATTTTTTCAGCAGGTAGAGTTGAGTGCAGGCTAAGAGTTCTGACTCTGGTCAGACTGCTTTGGTTCATATCCAAACAACACCTCAACCAATTGAGTTGATCTGGGGAAAATTCTTTAAACATCTGTGCCTTAGTTTACTTAACTATAAAGTAGAAGAAATAATGAGACTGTAAGAATTAAATGAGACAATACACATAAAGCAATATATGTGCCAGGCATATTTTAACACTTACTGAGCCCTTAATAATAATATAATATAATCACAAATAAGATTTCTGGGGCCCTCCTCCACTTAAAAAAAAAAAAATTCCTACCTGGATCCAACCTAAAGTAAACTAACTGATGGACCTACAAGCCTAGTGTACTACTAAATTTTCATGGTTTAAGTATAAATGGTATAGGGGAAAGACTATGGACTTAAGAACCAAATAGAACTGATTTATTTTTTTTGATTTTTGATTTTGAGAGTACATTTATTAAAGCTGGGAACAGTTTGGGGTTGGGGGGAGGTAGAAGAGCTTATGGGGGGATAAATGGTGATGGAAGGAGACTTGACTTGGGATGGTGAACACACAATACAATATACAGATGATGTATTATAGAATTATACACCTGAAATCTATATAATTTTATTAACCCCAATAATGTCAATAAATAAAATAAAACAAAACATCATTATATAATGTAAACAGAAAGCTGGGGACAGTGAAACAAAGGAAAGGCTTAAGATAGAAGAGGCAAGATCACAGCAACAGTAGTGTGCCTAGACTGCACTGCCTAGACTCAGGAAAGGAGGTCAAAGTAAAAGAAATGAGCCACACTTGGCTGTGTGACTTAGGAAAGGAAGTTACACAGGCAAAAGAAGGGTCTTTGGAGACCCCCTACACAGAGGATTAGCCTGGGACAAGCTGCTACTGCCCACTGCTCTCCTGAATGCAAGTCTCACAGGGGCCCTTGAAGCTTAGGAGAAAGAAAGAAAGCAAAAGTACACACCTGAGGAAAGAGGTCATGGGCATGCTCAAGAGAGCGTGGCCCTGGCCAGTTTTGCTCAATGGTTAGGGCACCAGCCCACAGTCCAAAGGTCATAGGTTTGATTTCTGGTCAGGGGCATGTACCTGAGTTGCAGGTTCAATCCCTGGCCTTGGTCAGAGTTATGTGGGAGGCAAACAATCACTGTGTCTCTTTCACATTGATATTTCTGTCTGTCTGTCTGTCTGTCTCTCCCTCTCTCCCTCCCTTTTACTCTATCTAAAATCAATGGAAAAATATCCTTGGGTGAGGATTAACAAATAAAAAAAGAGAGAGAGAGAGAGCCCAAATAGAACTAATTTAAACACTAAATCATGTATGACATATGGACAATGATGTAGTGGGAATGTACCTATGAAACTCTCATACTACCCCGGAGTGAACTAGTTACATTTTAAAACATTTTTAGCAGGTAATTCTAGATCATAGCTCTAAAGATGGGAGAAGGATTGAGTGTATTACTTGATGCCCTGGTGTGTGCAAAAAGCACTGGACTAGGATTTTGGAGACAAGAGTTCTACTTGGTCTTGCCTCAAAGTAGCTGTATAACTGGATAAATCAATTCGCTTCTCTGTGTCTCATCTTTAAAATGAGAATTTTTAGCCCTGCCCAAGTAGCTCAGTTGGTTAGAGCGTCATCCCAATTCTGCAAGATTGCAGGTTCAATTCTGGTCAGGGTACATACTAGAATCAACCAATAAATGCATAAATAAGTGGAACAACAAATCAATGTTGTTGTGTTTCCTCTCTCTCCCTTCCTCTCTCTCAAATCAATAATAAAAAAATAAAATGAGAATGTTTATTAGATGATCCAGCCCAAAGGAAGATTTACAGAAAAGTGGTACTACTCCACCAAAAAACCAGAATTAAATGGGGAAGGATATGTAGCAAATAGAAAAAGTATGAGCTCCGAAGCAACACTACTCTGAAACTCAGCATAAGATTTTCATAGAGCCTGTTTCTCGATCTGTATCATGGGGTTAATACCTTCTCATAAGTTTTTTTTTTTTTTTTTTATCCTCATCCGAGGATATTTTTCCATTTTTTGTTCAGATAGAGTGGGGAGGGAGGAGAGAGAGAGAGAAACATCGACGTGAAAGGGACGACCCAACCAGGGCCAGGGACAAACTGCAACCGAGGTACATGCCCTTAATGGGAACTGAACCCGGGTCTCTCCAGACCGCAGGCCGACGCTCTACCGCTGAGCCAAACTGGCCAGGGCTCTCATGAATATGTTGTAGGAATTAGGGATAACATGTACATGAAGTGCCTGCTTAGCACCAGTATGTACTCAAAAGAGCCAATCCCCTTATCTCCTTTTGCTACTTACCCAGAGTTCGAGAGAAGACAGGAAGTGCTGAGCTTAGGACCAGGAGGCAGACACAGTTCCCAATTATCTGAGTAGGAGTAAGGAAAGGGGAAGTTAGGCTGCCAGTACCTAATCCCCATGCATGCCCCTGGGATATGTTCTGTACTCCTACCCAACTACCTGTGTCATGGCTGTGTCATGCCATCTGGGCCGCAGGCCCCGGAAGAGTGGAGAACTGTAGAATCCCATGACCGAGGACACCATCAGGTAACTGGCACTGGAGTTAGGAAAGAACTGGCTGGCTCCCAGAGATTAGTGCCTCATCTCAAAGGGAATAGACCCAAGCCCTCCTTTCAAAATCAAGTCTTTTCCTTATTTCTGAATCAGGTTGGTGAAGACTTTCCCCATTCCCATCAGTCCTACCACAGGTTTTCCCAGATCCCCAAAGGAGACATATTCAGTGGACAGAAGCAATAGTGGGTTTCCAGAAGGATACAAGATGAGTACAACCTGAATGACGGCACCAAAGGAGCCCAGCTTGGAGAAGGAGACCTGGCCCAGGGAGGTACCCTGAGAGATGGAGCAGTATCACAGTGGAGCACTCTCCACCATCAGCACCACCCAGTACCCAGCCTTCCCTCTGACCTCAGTTTCTGCCCCCTCACACCAGTCTTTCTTAGGCCCTCCCCAAAAGATATGGTGAGAGGGCAGCCCAGTACCTGCATGCCCCGGGGCATGGCAGCTTCATCAATGAGCAGCTCCAGGATGTGGATGGCCACAGTGAGCACGGATAGGCCCTGTGTGAGGCAAGGTCACAGATCCCATTCCTGCCCCAGCCCACAGCTATACCCAGAGTTGAAAGTTAAGAGCAGACACTCTGCCCTGGCTGGGTAGCTCATCCCAATATGCCAAGATCATGGGCTTGGTCCCTGGTCAGGGCACATATAAGAATTAACCAATAAATGCACAAATAAGTAGAACAAATTGATGTTTCTTTCTCTCTCTAAAATCAATTTAAAAATTTTATTAAAAAAAAAAATCAGCCCTGGCCAGTTTGGCTCAGCAGTTAGAGTGTCATGGGCCAAAGGGTCATGGGTTTGATTTCCGGTCAAGAGCAGTACTGGGTCGCAGGTTTGTTTGTTTATTTATTCATTTAAATTAATTAATTAATGTATTTTAATCCTTACCCGAGGACATTATTCCACTTTTTGTTCAGAGAGAGTGGGAGGGAGAGAGAGAAACATCGACGTGAAAGGCTGCTACCCGCACAACCAACCAGGGCCGGGGATAAACTGCAACCGAGGTACGTGCCCTTAGCGGGAACCGAACCCGGGTCTCTCTGAACCGCAGGCCGATGCTCTAACCTCTAAGCCAAACCAGCCAGGACTGGGTTGCAGGTTTAATCCATGCGGGAGGCAGCCAATCGATGTGTCTCTCACATCGATGTTTCTCTCTCTCTCTCTCTCTCTCTCTCTCTCTCTCCCCCTTCTTCCCTCCCTCCCTCCCTCCCTCCCTCCCTCCCTCCCTCCCACGCTATCTAAAAATCAATGGAAAAATATCCCCAGGTGAGGATTAGCAAAAATAACTAAGTAAATAAATAAAAAAGCAGATACTTTGGTTGAATATTTTCAATTTCCAAGTAGCCATATGGGACCTTCTCAAGGCTTGTGCTAGCAACAGAGCACCTCTGAAGGTATTATAAGATGCATCTTCTCCAGGTGGAAGGATTGCAAAAAAAGCCAGATAGAAAAATGGACCTCTTCCTCCAGACTGATAAGACTTATTCCCAAGTCCAGGTTGTGGCAAGTTGGGCTATTTCGACCCTTATTTGCACCCCAGAGGAAACCTGGGTAGCCCTGTGTAGCCTTGGGAAAACTCTTTAACTTCTCTATTTCTTCATTTACAAAATGGGGATTGATGTGCTCAGCACAGAGCAGGACACAAAGCACTCAGTGAGAGGCAACTACTCTTATTGAGGATAACCAGGTCCCTGCATCTCCTCCCTCTTTCCTGAGAAGGCCTACTACTCAAGGGCCTACTCCTCCCCATCTCCACCAAGGCTGGTAGACCCACCGTCAATAACAGCAAGCATAGCATGGCCAGGGGATAGCCCAGGTTCCGCTGCCAGGCTGAAGCCTTCCGCCGCTTCTCTGTGCAGGGATGGGAAGCAATTAGCAAGGGCTTGGAACAAGGAGCTACTCTCCTTGGGGAAAGCCAGGTATTCCCATTCCTACCAACTCACATACCCAGCAGGACCCTCTGTGTCTGCAAAGCCAGGACCTGTCTGTGCAGCAGCTCCATGTCCAAAGGTAGCCAGCAGGAGGTGGGATCTGAGGGCAGAGAAGATGGTGCTGTCCCTGCTCAAGCCATACCCACCATCCTACCTGAGAAGAATTACAACTCACTGCAAATCCTTCGAGTCAAAGCTGCTTCCTCAAAGGCTGAGCAGTACAGCTGCTCCTCCAGGTCTTCTAGCAGCTGGGGTCAGGAAAAAAGCAAGGACTAATAGTCAGTGGCTTCCCAACCCTAAAGGACAGAGGAGTACCCTGTTCATCCCAGGGCTTTATAGTCCCATTCCTTCCCCTACCCCTCATTTACAACCCTGTGGTCAGCAACTTTATCAATCCCCCTTAACTGCCTTGTATTCTGCTTTGTATGTCTAGTAACCAGCTCCAGATGATGTGAGTGAAGGATATGGGAGCTAACAAAGGCTGTGGCCCTCTGCAAGGTGTGCACCACACAACCACAGGGTTGCTTCATTGTTTGACTCCAGCTTGTCAGGAAGCTCACCCCACAGGATCAAAAGGCAAGGAGCACTACATACCCGGGGCTTGACCAGTAGCTTCCCAGTAACCGAGAACATGCGGGCAAGACCTAGCGGAGTACACACTGTGGAGACAGAAGCCAGTCACCTGCCAGACCTTTCCCTCCATCATTTCCCCTACCCACCTCTCCATTCCCTCTCCTTCTCCCCTGGTGGCTCTGGCCCAAGGACCTTACCCATTCTCTCCCAGACTATGAGCACTCACCCAGGAGCAGCAGGACCCCAAGGAAGGAAATGCAGGAGTAGAGGTAGGGGAGGTAGTACTCCCAGAAGTCTAAGGGTAAAAAAAAGAGACACAGTCAGCCCATCTCTTTCTTGCTTACTGGGACTGGGACTGACAGGTCTCAGAGACAGCACAAAACCTACAGGGGTTAGGCAAGTAATGCAAATCAGGAAAGCTGGCCCTTGTCAGCAGAAGAGGGGATGGCAGGGACTATAGAAAACTGGTGATCTTAAGCCCTACCTAAAGGGCACAACCACTATTTGGCCCCAGTCACCAGGGACTAGTGTGGCCTGATCCTCAACCTTGTCAAGCAAAGCCAGAGATCTGGATATTAATGTAAAACCTCCAAACTTTAACATGTATACAGCAACTGACTTGTATATACATTTTTAAATCATTGCATGGGCCCAATGGAACATTTCTGAAGGTTGGATTTGGCCTGAATTTCATCATTTTGAAATTTCAGTCTAACGGTTGAGATGATCCCAACCTTCTCCACCTCAGAGGGATAAAATTGATCCAGGCAAAGGAACATCTGCCAACTGAAGAGCCACTCAGCCTGGAGGGTAGGAAGGAAGCTGGCCCTCTCACCATAAAGTGACTCCCTGCTGGCCTTGTTGTTATCCACAATGGCTGATGCCACCCACACCATGCCCAGCACCAGCAGAGTGAGGAGCATCAACATTACCACCGTCTCGTAGACTCGACCCAGGACACCCTACGGAAGAAGGCAATAGGTATGGGGGTGGAGAGAAATTCCAATGTTAGGGCAGTGTGGAGAAGGAAGGAAACATTGGGGATGGCAGCCTGGCCAGGGAAACCAGAGGAGTGGATTTGGAAGAAAGGGGACAGTGTTTCCATCTTATTCTGCTAAATCACTGTCTTCCTACCCTGAAGTCTGGGGCTATTCCCTATCCTGAATATTCTTCATTTGTAAACCCTGTCCCCCGCTCCTTTCCCATCCTTGTCTTGCCCTAGGAGGCTGACCACTGAGGTCTGCATCACACAAGCCCTTTGCCCTTGGGTATCCTGTTCAGCTTGCCCAATGGAAAGGACCAGCAGCTCCTCTGCTGGTGGTTGCACCTCCCAAGCTTCAACTATCATTGGGTTCCAGAAGCTATTTTTTCCCTCTCCTCCCACAAGCCTAGGGTGGTAATGACTTCCTGCTGTTACTAGCACCTCAAACTCCTGGTTGGTCTCAACTGACTATACCTCTATAAATAGTCTCTTCAGCCCTGGCCGGTTTGGCTCAGCGGTTAGAGCGTTGGCCTGCGGTCCGGAGAGACCCAGGTTCGGTTCCCGCTAAGGGCACGTACCTCGGTTGCAGTTTGTCCCTGGCCCTGGTTGGGTTGTGCGGGTGGCAGCCACTCGATGTGTCCCTTTCACGTCGATGTTTCTCTCTCTCTCTCTCCCTCTCTTTCCCTCCCACTCTATCTGAACAAAAAATGGAAAAATGTCCTCCGGTGAGGATAAAAAAAAAAAAAAAAGTCTCTTCATTAAAATATTCTTAGTCGAGCCCAGCCGGTGTGGCTCAGTGGATTGAGCATTGTCCCATGGACTGAGAAATCCCAGTTTGATTCCCAGTCAGGGCACATGTCCGGGGTTTGGGGCTCAATCCCCAGTAGAGGGTGTGCAGGAGGCAGCCGATCGACGTATCTCTCTCACATTGTTTCTATCTCTCTCTCTCTCCCTTCCTCTCTCTCTAAAAAAATAAATAAAAAAATATTTTTAAAAAATTTCTTTAGTCGCCCTGGCTGGTTTGGCTCAGCAGTTAGAGCGTCGGGCTGAGGTCCAGAGAGACCAGGGTTCGGTTCCCACTAAGGGCACATACCTCAGTTGCAGTTTGTCCCGGACCTTGGTTGGGTTGTGCGGGTGGCAACCACTCGATGTGTCCCTTTCACGTCGATGTTTCTCTCTCTCTCCTTCTCACTCTATCTGAACAAAAAATATGGAAAAATGTCCTTGGGTGAGGATTTAAAAATAAATAAATAAATAAAAGGCAGAAAATCTTTAAAATAATCTCTTTAGTCAAAACATCTGAGTGGAATTCTATTTTCCACCTAGATTGATTGATACATCCCTCACTCACCTTTCTGGAGCCGGCGAAGCCCTCAGACTCAGTGAAGAAGTATGCAAAGGGCATGAGGAAGATGAGGGATAGGTTGGAGAAGAGAAAAACAAGGTTCCAGAGGCCTAGAGTAAAAAAAAGAAAGGCAGAGGTGGTAAGGGGGGCCCGACACACTGGGGACTGATCATGTGATCAAGGAGCCGGGGATGGACTGATGAGTCCAAGGCTGGCTGTATCTGCTCCCAATTGCCACCCCAAGCTACAACCGGGAGCCACGCACCATGGATGAGGGAGCCGTTGAGCCACTGGATGTAATAGTTCCGAGGCAGTGAGAGCAACACTTCATTGCTGATGATGGAGAAGGGCAGGAGCAGGACAGCACCCAGGGCAACCGCCAGGGTAAAGGTACAGAGTTCGAGCCTGAGCAGAGAAGGAGTATCCTCACTTAGCTTAGACACTCACTTCCCTGGGCCCAAGAAGCCCCACTGGTCCCTGCGGGCACCTGTGCTTTCTCCTGGAACCGACTGTAGTGACAGACCTAGGGAGGAGCCATCAGCTGGGGCTTTACCCACTGCCCCCCAGCCCTAGCCCTTACCTTCAGGGAAGCCTTGGCACATGGGATGGGCGCATCTCAGGCATTTATGGGAACCTGGTCACCTGCCATGTCACTTGCCCAGACTGTCCCTAGGAATGTGATCCTCCCACACGTGCCTGTAGGGTGCACCAGGTATGATGCCAACCTAAGAGGCCTGGATTCTCTGCTCAGAGATGTGGATTTCTGAGCTTGCCTTCTTCAGCCCACGTAAGAGCAGGGTCACCCCATACGGGTATGCCCTGCACAAAGCATTAGGACAAAGGGGGAAAAGGGAGCCAAAACCCAACTTCATAGCCAAGGTCTGTGTCCTGAGCTGGATCAGTTGAAAAGAAGGGACATTTTTGTTTATTTGGTCCACCGAGGCGGGAGGGTTGCCTTCTTATAATCTGTTTACCCCTCTGGGTCATCTCAAAATTTTCCTCTATACTTGCTGGTGAATGACAGCAGTCTGGAATAAGGGCCACCCTTAGAGTCAAACATGCCTCCCCTTTGGAGTTTCTACCTTCCTCATCCTCTGTTGTTTTCATTAGTCTGCATCCTACCCTGCCCCGTTCCTAATGACTGCTGGGAGGTGAAGCCAAGATGAAGCCATTTCCAGTGACTCAGGTCCCAGCTGATAGTTCCTGGCTGTGAGGATCCTAGAAGCTCCTGGACTAACCAGGGAGACAGGAAGAGCAGCTTTTCCAAGCGTCCCCAGGGTGGGGTAAAGCCGGAAGAAGCCAGAAATGGTGTGGAAGCAGAAACTCTCTCTTCACTTTGTGACATCCTACTCTCTCCACCAGCTCCAGGACCTCACTAGATCTCAGCTTCTAAAGGCTAGTGGTGCCAGGTGCTCAGGCAGCGACACTTACGCAATCTTGTTGACTGTGGCATCTTCATCATCCACTACATGAGATAGAGGCATGGGGAAAAAGCAGAACATCAGTGAGCAGCTCTGGAACCATCTGTGTTGCAATGTGCCTTCCCCTCCCCGCCCACTGAAAGAAGGGCCCCTGTCTACAGAGGCAGAGCTGGACAGGAGGCTCTGGGAGAGCTTATGCTATGAACCCCACAACCTGTTCTCTGGCCAAGGTGGCAGTGGTCCCAGGTGGAGAAGGTACAGGCTAGAAACTCTCTCATTTCCTTCCCTCCCCATGATGTGTCCCATCACAGGTTCCTCTTTGTAAGCTCAAAATATGATAAACAACTGGTCTGTGAAGTTGGTTACATCAGTGGCTGGGTACAGTAGGGAGTGGGGGAAGAGGATATTCACAGAGAAAGTCCCCAGGAGGATTACACTGAGGAGTAGCTGTCTTCTTGGGTGGGAGCTCATGTAAAGCCATCTGGAGGGAAGGAAAGGCTAGGGCTAGGACAGGATAATATGGACAGGCTGGGGCTAAGAACTGGGGCAAGTATGCCCCCGCCCCCCAGACAAAAATGCCTACAAGAAAGACAGCTCCAATCTGAGCACACTTAGGCTCTCTATAAAGAGAAAGGCCACCAGCTATGGCTGGTTTGGCTCAGCAGTTAGAGCATAGACCCGTGGACCAATGAGTTGTGGGTTTGAGTCCAGTCAAGGGCATGAACCGCAGTTACGGTTTGTCCCTGGCCCTGGTTAGGGTCATGTGGGAGGCAACCAGTCGATGTGTCTCTCTTGCATCGATGTTTCTCTCCCTCCCTCCCACTCTATCTGAACAGAAATGGAAAAATATCACCCTGGCCTGTTTTGCTCAGTGGTTAGAGCATCAGCCTGTGGTTCAGAGAGACCCAGGTTCGGTTCCTACTAAGAGCATGTGCTTCGGTTGCAGTTTGTCCCCGGCCCTGGTTGGGTCATGTGGGTGGCAGCCACTCGATGTGTCTCTCTCACATCAATGTTTCCCTCTCTCTCTCTCTCTCTCTCCCCCTCCCACTCTATCTGAACAAAAAATGGAAAAAAAAAATCCTCAGGTGAGGATTAAAAAAGAAAGAAAGACCATCATCAGGTCTTCAGGGTTCCAGTGGTCATGGAGGTCTCTGGTCCTAGGTGTGGGAGTACTAGGAGAGGTTACAGAGCTTGTGCTCATGATAGCATTCATTTTGCAGTTGCCCACTTGAGGTTTACAGAGGGCTTTTATATTAACCATCTCATTTGGTCCATATACTAACAATGGATTGGGTTGAGACTGTTAGGCCCATTTTGTAGAGAATGAAACTGGGGGCCAGAAAAGTTACAGGACTTGCCCAGTGGCTTTATCAGTTGTGGACACGTCTATCTAGACTTTCCACTACATCACACTGTCTCTACCTATGGAAGCAGGGAGGCAGAAGAGGCCAAGTCTCCAGAACAGCCACCTCTCCTTTCCCAGCAGGCACCATAGGCCCATTCTCCTGAGGCTGGCCCCATGGCAACAGAACACTGGCAGAGGGCAGGCAGAAGGGAGGGAAATCACAGGTACCTGTGGTGAACTCAGCAGGCTTCTTGAAGTGGGTCAGGGTGATGTGGCAGAGGATGTAGAGTGTCGCAAAAAGAAGTGCTGAGATCTGTGGTAGAGCATGAGCTAGGATGAGAAACTCTAATCCCAAGCACATTCCACAGCCCCAGTGACCTCTCTGTTAATTACATGGGGTCATTTCTCCCAAACAAGTCTCCCTACTTCCAGGGGTTCCATCTTTCTCCCTGGTACTTCCTTCTAGTCAGGGCCTCAGGAGTCTCTAAGAAGCAGCAGACAGGGGCTGTCCCATGCACCTGGGGAAATAGCACCATGTCCAGGTTTTCCTTGCAGAAAATAGCAACAGCCAAACACTAGTTGGTAAATGGGCAGAGAAAACTAGATGCTCATGTACACACACCTGAAATGGGCCATAGAACCAGAGGGAGTTTACTCCTAGCACATTATTGGAGGGGGAAGCAAGTTCGAGGGGAAGAAGGGAATGTCTGCATTGTCCTGGCACTTCAATCTCCTTCCCTTTCACCTTCTCACCCACTACCATTTTGACCCAAGCTCCGGGAGAGAATAAGTAGGAATCATGTCTCTAGATCAAGTCAGAACTTCTACTGTGTTTATTCGGGGACTATGAAAGATCAGGTCTGCTCTGGGCCAAACCATAGCTTCACTTAATTCTCTGCCCCTAAAAGTAAGACATAGTTGGGGCCTAATATCTACAAAGTTCCTAGAGTCAGCATCAGCCCCTTTAAAGGCAGCCCCTTTAAAGGTTGATCCCTAGTCCCTACCTCAAGTGACTTCCTAACTCTAGGGCCGGCCTCTCAGGGTCTGTCCCATGCCTCTGGGTGACTGGACCTCCAATTGACAGTTAAGGCAGGACTTAGCCAGATTACTCTGCACATGCATATATCTCTACCCTACCCCGAATAAGTTGCTATTGCTTAAGGGAAGAGGCACTGCTCAGTTTGACTCCTTAATCAGGGAGTCTTGAGAAGAGACATTATTGTGTTTGAAGTAGTCCAAGAAGGCAGGATCAGTCTTGTGGGTCCTCCAGTCCCCCAAATGAGCTAACCCCACAGGAAATCTGCATACAGCTATCCATACAAGGAAGGAAGAAGTCATAGAGACCCTAGGAGAGCATGGGCCCAGGACGAAGTTGTATCTTTTGACATTAGGAAAGCAGAGGAGAATGAGCCACTCAGATTGGAACTACAGAAATTTTACAGCCTAGTGCTCTGCCCTGGGCTTGCGTAATAGCCAGGAAGGTGGGAGGGCTCAAAAGGTCAGGCCAGAGTTCCACGCAGTTCCAGCAGAGACTGTCACTCTGTAGAGCAGGGCATGGGAGCCAGGTGGAAGAACTATCAGAGGCCTTCAGGCTGCCCTTGGCCAGCACTGGTGTCCTCAGCTAATGGAACTAAAAAATGGGGGAAGACATCTAGGAGGCTGCTTCTTTCTCCAAGGTCTCATCCCTCCTGGTTCTCTAGGAATGTGGACCTCTGGCCATACACTGTCTCAAGGCCTAGGTGATCCTCAACAATATGCCCAATCCCACCATGTGGGACTATCCACTAAGAGACGTACAAGGAAAGCTTCCTGAAAGCAGATCTGGCATTCTACACATGGACTGATACACTTCCTACTTTTCATTCCTCACAGATAAGGACAGACTCAGTTAAGTCATGGCTCACTTTATCCCTCCTCCAATCTGAGGCTGCCCAGGGCAGACTAGAACCCAGCATAAGAAAAATGAATGATGAGCCCACTCACTAACACTTCTATTTTTTCAAACCTTTTTATTTTCCTTTCCATTTAGTATATGGAAGAGGGCTACCCTGGGGATTTCTGAGGAAGAAGACTCAGGAGAAAGGAGAGAGATGAGAGTTCAAAGCAGGCCCAAGGAAGATTCGACTTCCTAAGCACCTCTGGGTGCTCCCCATCCCCACCCCCCAGCAGTGAGGAATCCATTGCTGTGGCAGGTTCAGCTGATGCTCTAGGTGGCAGTGAGGGAGTAAGAAAGGCAGCCAGGTGCCCTCTAGAGCACTGAGGGGAACCACTCACAGAGGAAATCCTTACATGTTTGAATATCTAGCTAGAAACATCCACTTGCAGGGATACTAACAAACATCTGTCAGGGGGTGGGGGAACCTTAGCTGTTCTCCATCTCTACCCTGTAGATACACCCCAGCAAGAGTCCCTTCTTCCAAAGTGGGAGACCCACCAAAGTCCCTGTTCGACAAACATCAGTTGGGTCTGCGGAGGTAAATGCAAATAAGCCCTCCCCTAATCAAATCCATCCCTCTCGGACTAAGATGAGCAGACTCGCCAGACTCTCAGACACAGGGGGACCCAAGCACAGAACAACAGTAGAGGTGGGGGACAGAAGGGAGGGCGGGGGAGGGCGTGTGGAGGAGAGGAACGGAAACCGACCGGCTTTGTTTATCGCGTAGCTACCCAGAGGATCCGACCTAGTGGTTCACCAGCTGGGGAACCGGTCCTTGTTTCGGGCCGGGGCCCTTCGTTGTTCGCCCTTGGTCCAGGCAGGGTCTGACGGCGCTCTACGCCCAGGTGGTCGTACTCTGACCCGAACCTCTCCTTCTCCCGCGACACCCGTGCTTCTACCCCCTTTGGTCCTAACCTTCCTGCCCGGGTCCCGCACTCACAATGCATTCGCGGACCCTCTCGTGGAATAGCTGCTCCCGCACGGATAGCACTTCGTAGTCAGCTGCTTCCATACTTTGCTCAGCATGACTGGGGCGGGGGTGTCTCCGGGCCCGGGCAGGACAAGCGGGGATAAAGCCGCCGCCGCCAAGCACCCGGACCCAGCCGAGGAGCCGTTCCTCGCAGCCTGCGACGGAAACTCGGGGTAATCTGAAGTCCAGATTCAGTCCTCCCGACGCCCCGCCCTTAAAGGTGCAGGCACAAGCGCGCCTCACTTTAAAGGGTCCCTGCGCCCTCTCTGTACCCTCCCCTTTAAGGTCGGGCCTCGGTCAAATTTCAACGTAAACACCCGCCCCCTGGCTCGCTACGAGGAAGCGTCTGTCTTCATTCTATTTTACTGGCGACCAACTGACGACATAAGGGATGGGCGAATCCCTTTCAGAGAGCTGAACTCATTGGCTTCTAGAGCTGCCGCTCCTCGTTAAAGGAACGCTGATAGGCTTTCCCCGTGAAAGGAGGCGGTATCTTTGAGGTCAATCTTTGCTCTTTCTGAAACTAACCAACCGACTCCCTCACCTGCCGCGGTTGAGAGGAGAGGATTCCTACATTTTAGTAGCTACTAAAATTTTAGTTTGAGAGGCCCATGGCGGTTATGAAAGGTACCGCTGCTCAGGAACCCAAGGCCCATTTTCTGAAAGGATGTTGGAGTGGGGCCCCCTTCACGGCCAGTTTTCACTCAGTCACTTTTAGGATGGCCAAGTGTATGCCACAGCAAATACTAAAAAACAACAGCAACAACAAACAAAAACAAAAAAACAAAGCGAAGTAGTGAACTACAGAAATATTCTTCTGAAACTTTGTGAGAAAATGCCCATAAGGGAACATTCTTGAGTGGGGCTGAATCAAACATTAGCTAACCTATGTTTCACTCACTTTACAGACTTGATCTCATTTTATTTTATTTTTTTATCCTCACCCGAGGACATTTTTTAATTTATCTTCAGATAGAGGAGGAGAGAGAGAGAGGGAGGAAGAGAGAGAGAGAGAAACATCAATGTGAGAGAGACACAGCGACTGGCTGCCACCCACACAACCCCAACCCAGGCCAGAGACAAACTGCAACCGAGCTACGTGTCCTTAGTGGGAGCCGAACACGGGAGTCTCTGGCCCTCTGGCCTATGCTCTAACCGCTGAGCCAAACCAGCCAGGGCTTGATTTCATTTTCATATCACAACCCTTGAGAGGAATATGTAATGATTAGCATTTTAGAGATTAGAAAAAGGTGAGAGGTTGTCATGTACCCAAGGTCACATAATTAAGGAACGCAAGTTACCTTCCTGAGATCTTGGTAGAAAGACTATTTGAAAAGTCCCACCTTAACGAAGTTAAATCTTTCCTCTAAATTGAAAGAAGCAACCCTGGCTGGTTTGGCTCAGCAGTTAGAGCTTCTGCCTGCGGTCCAGAGAGACCTGGGTTGGGTTCCCGCTAAGGGCAAGTACCTCAGTTGTGGTTTGTCCCCTGGGTTGTGTGGGTGGTGGCCAAACTATGTGTCTCTCTCACATCAATGTTTCTCTCTCTCCTTTCCTCCCTCTCGCTGGGTCTGAAGATGAATGCAAAAGCGCCCTCGGGTGAGGATAATATATAAATTGCAGGAAGCAGTGCAGAGAAACTCAAAAAGAAGGGTTGAGTTTTGCAAAGCCTGCCATTGAAGAATAAGATCCCAATTCTAGAGACCTTAGATTGCCTTCAGTTACTAACAATTGAATTCTGTACCTTTGTAACTTCTTGGGCCAAGTTATTTTGATCTCTGTTCTGTTTCTCCAGTGATTTGCAATAGAACCTTGAGAAATAAAAAGCATGTATTGGTATGTACACGTAATAGACCTGTCTTTGGTGATAGCAAGATAATGAGAAAACTGATTTCCCTTCTAGCAATCAAGCTTGAAGTAAACAGAACTCCAACAGCGGGAGAGAGTAGACACAATTAGTTACAAAGAGGAGACAGACTGTAGCTGGCTGGGTTCTTGGCTCTGCTGCAAGGAAAGGAGAGAACAGAAGGTGGCTTGGGTCTATTGAGTGTGTTGTATAGGAACAAACATGAATGGGTCAAGGCCCTACCCTGGAGGAACTTACAGCTTCTCAGGGAGAGGTGGTCCTGGAGTTTAACACATCTCAGATCTTAATTCAAGCCTATGTACTTTAATGGTCTTATTAAAACACAAATCAGATCTTGTCTCAGCTCAAAATCATTCAAAAGTGATCCATTTGCACTTGAAAATTCACCAGCTTTGAAGCAAGCCTACAATGGTGGCCTTTGGGCTACATTAGACATGCTGTGTTTTGTTGGGCTCACAGTGTTTTTAACAAGTTTGGACAAACATTTAAAAATCAGAAAAATGACACCTTAAAAATTCAGATATCTGTCTTAAATAAAAGATCTGGCAGAGCTGGGCAATAAAGGCCTGTGGCTCTACAGATAGAGGAGGATGTGCTAGTCTTCCACAGCTCCTATCACCAGTTTTTCCATTTACTGTACATTGTCAGCCCAGCTGTACATTTGAGTTTGTGACCTGTGAGCTATCCCTTCTCTACTGCTTCAACTGGCACCATTTCATTTTGGCCTTTGGTCAGTTTCTGGTGGACTCTGCCAAACTCTTCCCTTTCTCAGGACTCTGCACTTGCTGTTTCTTCTGCCTGAAAGAGCTCTCCCCTTCTTCTCCTTCCCAATTCACTTTTAGCTGGCTCCTATTTTCTTTAGGTTTGAGTTTAAATGTTATCTTCTCAGAGGAGTCTCCCTCAACCCCCACTATCTTATCTAAAGCAACCTATGTTTGTCATATTTATTACAAATTACCTTAACTTCATTTGTATTTTTTTGTATGTCTCCCCCATTTAGGCTCCTAAAATAAAAAATAAAAATTATATTTGTATTTGTCAACATAAGAACATCCAAATATGTAGAGAAATTTTGTAAGAGTTTATTTGAGCCTAAACTGATAACAATGTCACAGTTTCTTCTATGTATTTGAAATTAAGGAGGGAACATAAGGAAGATTATATGAGGGTGAAAGAAATAGAGCGGAACTGGATTACAGGTAGTTAATGAGATTATGTGCTTTCTTGAGGATGGTTAAACTTATTTCAAAAGTATGTTAATTTAGTGTGCTCTCTTCTGGGGTGCAAGCCCTTGCCTTTCCTTTCTCCCTCTTCCCCTGCAGGCATGCATCTCCTAAATGCTAAAGGGACTCCATGAGACTTGTGATCAGGAGAGCAATGGACAGTGAGTGGCAGCTCATCTTGGGCTAACCCCCTGAACCTGTCTACAAGGCTTCTTTTTCTCTGACTTTTCAGAGAGCCAAAGCAGCCCTGCCTAGGCTTGCTCTTGTTGCTTCTGTCCTAAGCCCTTCCTTGTTTCACTGTCCACAGCTTTAATAAACGTCCTTTCAAAATTGGAAAAAAAAAAAAAAAAAAGGTATGCTAACCTAGATGCACAAAAACAATGAATGCGACTTGCTTAAGGCAAAAATAAACTATTTATTACGAAAGTTATTGCCCTGGCCAGGTAGCTCAGTTGATTAGAGCATCATTCCTACATGCCAAGGTTGTGGGTTCGATCCCTGGTCAGGGCACATACAAGACTCAACCAATGAATGCATAAATAAGTGGAACAACAAATTAATGTTGTCTGCCTCTCTCTCGGAAAAAAAAAAAAATGTTAACATGCTTGAGGCATGACTACCTACCATGACCTGCCTAGTTAGGAATTTATGAACAGATGACCCTATGAGGTTACTTTCTGTAGAACCCCATTTCCCCCCCACATCTTATTTTTATTTTTATTTTTTATCCTCACCCAAGGACATTTTTCCATTTTTTGTTCAGATAGAGTGGGGAGGGGGGTGGGAAGAGAGAGAGAGAGAAACATGGACGTGAAAGGGCCTCATCGAGTGGCTGCCACCCGCACGACAACCAGGGCAGGGACAAACTGCAACCGAGGAATGCACCCTCAGCGGGAACTGAACCCTGGTCTCTCTGGACCACAGGCCGACGCTCTAACCGCTGAGCCAAACTGGCCAGGGATCCCCCCACATCTTGAACACAGTTATTTCCTTAGTCTTAGCCTGGTGCCCGACACATGTAGTACTCAAATATTTAAAACTTTAGTGAGCCCTGGCCAGTTTGGCTCAGTGGTTGGAATGTCGGCCCCAGACCAGAGAATCCCGGGTTCGGTTCCCGCTAGGGGCACATACCAAAAATAAATAAATAAATAAATAAATAAATAAATAAATAAGCCCTGGCCAGTTTGGCTCAGCGGTTAGAGTGTCGGCCTGCGGTTCGGAGAGACCCGGGTTTGGTTCCCGCTAAGGGCACGTACTTCGGTTGCAGTTTGTCCCCGGCCCTGGTTGGTCATGCGGGTGGCAGCCACTCGATGTGTCCCTTCACGTCGATGTTTCTCTCTCTCTCTCCCTTCCTCTCTCTCCCTCCCACTCTATCTGTACAAAAAATGGAAAAATATCCTCGGGTGAGGATTAAAAAAATAAATAAATGAATAAGATAAATAAATAAATAAATAAATAAATAAATAAATAAATAAATAAAAATGTAGTGAGAAAAGATGCCAAACATTGCTAATAATCAGAAGAGCTGGGTATTAATTCTAGCATTGTCATCCTGAGCTATACTTGATCTCACTAGCAAAACTAGAGATCCTTTAGATTGCTTCCAAATCTATAAATCTAGTGTTAATGCTCCTTTGCAAGCCACAAAATGCTGTAACATCACTTGAGGCACAGACTGTTACATCTGATTCTTACAACTGGTCAGCATAGATTTCTACTTTTTTTTTTTAATCCTCACCCAAGGACATTTTTTCATTTCTTGTTCAGATAGAGTGGGAGGGAAAAAGAGACAAAGAGAAACATCGACATGAAAGGGACACATTGAGTGGCTGCCACCCGCACGACCCAACCAGGGCCAGGGACAAACTGCAACCGAGGTACATGTCCTTAGCAGGAACCAAACCCGGGTCTCTCTGAACCGCAGGCCGACGCTTTAACCGCTGAGCCAAACTGGCCAGGGCTAGATTTCTACTTAGAGACTTAGCATCATCCAGAATATACTGATGTGTACAACTGAACTGAACTTTATTTTTTTTCATTGTTTTAGTTACTTAAATGTTTATTTATTTATTTATTTATCCTCACCAAGGACATGTTTGCATTTATCTTCAGATAGAGCAGGAGGAAGAGAGAGAGAGAGAAACATCAACGTGAGAGACATTGGCTGTCACCCGCAGGACCCCAACCGGGGCTGGGTACAAACTGCAACAAAGGTACATGCGCTTAGCAGGAACTGAACTCTCTGGTCC